CACTCTCCCTTTGGTTGAAAATGAACCACACGTCTGGCAAAAGGCTTTTGCTTGTATTACTTCCTGGGCCTACACAGAAGCGAGGGATGTGATTCCAACAGAGGAAGAGGTGCAGTTACACAGGGCACCGACCGACCAAGTAGGAAGAGAGGCGTCCGTGCCAGTTTGAACAGCTCTTTCACAACCCAAAACTATACAGCTAGACAAAACGATCATCTAAACTTCCTCCTGGTTCTCCCCTGGGCTCTGGTCACAGAGCAGGTCATGACAGACAGGTAGAGAGAGAGAGAGAGAGAGAGAGCAAGAGCTTCCTTCCAACTTCTCTGACTGTCCTCTTACAATTTAAGTTCCCCCACATTAAACTAGCCTTGTGGCAAGACACCTGCCAGAAACTAAGCATGTTAAAACCATGCTTTGCGAGCCACCAGAGTCCGAGCCCTTAGCAAAATAATAAAGCCTCTAAACAGACTGTCTGCCAAGTGCTTAACCCTGCACTGAGGTCTTAAGTGAACCAGTGTTCAGAAGCAAAATTGATATCGTCAACCTGTAGGACCGAGTCAAAGGCAAAAGGAGAACCGTAATAACATTGGCCAAGACTTCTCAGATTCCACTCATCTGGTCAGGCAGCTAACCCAGAGTCGGTCACTCCAGGACGGGAGGATATCGGAGGGGTCAGAACTGAAAGAGGTGCCACATCATGCCACAGCAAGACAGCACGCCCCACCAAATAGTCACAACACCCAACCAATACCCTGTCACACGGGCTGCTGTGCCATGAGTCTGGGGTCTGCAGACTTCAAAAAGCCAAAGTGGAAAAACAAGCAGAGCCAGGAGGGGCTGGTCCACACAACAGGACAGCTCTCGGGGTTCAAGGCCAACCTAAGGAAAACATTGCTCCCGATTCCGCCTTTCTGAGAGGCTGACTGCCTGCTGTATGTCCTAGACGTCAGGGAGATAGAAACAGAGGGACAGACAGAGCGAGAGGAAAAAAGAGAAAGTAGAAAAGGAGAAAGAAGACAAGGAAGGGCATGACCTAAATACATGCACAGCCCTCACCATGTAATTCACGATTCTTACAAAGAATGCCACTAAAGAAACTATCAAAAAGAGCCAAAAGCAGGGCAGGTCCCGTGGCGTAGCAGTTAAGTGCTCCCGCTCCGCTGCTGGCGGCCCGGGTTCGGATCCCGGGCGCGCACCAATGCACCGCTTCTCCGGCCATGCTGTGGCAGCGTCCCATATAAAGTGGAGGAAGATGTTAGCCCAGGGCCAGTCTTCCTCAGCAAAAAGAGGAGGATTGGCATGGATGTTAGCTCAGGGCCGATCTTCCTCACACACACACAAAAAAAAGAGCCAAAAGCAAGGGCTTAGCCTCTATATTTTGTTTCAGAATCCACCAGGAAAAGAAAACCATTCCAGGTATTGAAAACAGAGGGATCTATAATGCAGACAACTGGTTTCACAGGTGAGGGAATTGCTGAGAGACCAAACAGAGAATACAGAGAAAAACCTAAGGAAAGCAAGAGTATGAAGCTGCTAAAACTCTTAGGCTAGAGCAGAGGACAGCAAACTTCTCATGTAAAGGTCCAGACAGTATTTAGTATTGTGGCCCATAAGGTCTCTGTTCCAACTACTCTACTCTGCCACTGTCAGCCAGAGACAATTTATACACGAATGTGTATGGCTATGTTCCAATAAAGCTTTATTTGCAAAAACAGACAAAGAGCTGGATTTCGCCCTCAGGTGAAGTTCGACAACCCCTGGGCTACAGAGACAAAAAGAGTAAATACTGGGGTCAGGATCACCTGACAGAAGCTGAAACCACAGCAGGGCGGACTAATGGAAGATGCAAAATGCAGTGCGTGTCTGAGACACCATGGGAGCGAAGGAGAGGGGAGAAACAGCCTGGCTTCTCCCTTGTCCTGCCCTGTAGTGTCCTGCCAAGTCCACTCATGGTATAAAGCCAGCTGGAGGCCACCCGAGAGGGGGACGTAGAAATGTATCCTGCAGTGATCAGCCCCTGCAATAACAGAGAGGAACACAGAAAAAAGAATACGAGGCCAAATAGGCAAAAAATTGGCACCACTAGTCAACTAATTCCATACAGAAAAAAATATCACACTAGTATGTGATGTGTCTCACCTTAGATCACTGACATATAAATGCATGAAACAGTGGGTCACATGAGAGTGATGTAAGAATATACACTTATCTCACTGCAAATTCATCTAAAGTAAGGGAAATCCATAACTAAAAGGGTACTGTGGTCAACCAGAGCACCTGTACAGACACAAATGAAAGTAGGGGTGTGTGTGTGCGCACACAGAATTTCTGAATACAATCAGTGATTCATCAATTCCATGTTTTATCACTGCGTTTTTTTTCCATTAGACTATTTGATATAAGAGAAGTAATTCTGTTAATTTTCTATCTCTATAACTATTACATACATTAGAAAGGCAGAAGGAAGGTTTGGAAATAGATCTGTTTACAGCAAAGATTATGTATAATATGTATCCAAAAAGAACTATCTGATTCAGGCCCTACTCAATTAAATTCTCAATGCTCATTTTAAAATGCTCATCAGAAGGTAAACAAAAGCTTTTGGATGAAACCAAAATCTATTTTTAAAGGCAATCTCTACATATTTACTGTATTAAAATCCAGGTCAGTATAGTAAGGAAGCACTTTAGAAGACAGTCCACAAAGACTGTGCCATTCTGGACCCCTTTGAATGATGCAAAATTATAAATGTATGGGTTTAAGAAGCAATTATCTAAACAAAGCTAAGTTACTATAACAATGAGATTGAGGTGAAAAAGTCAATGACATCTTATAGGTAATACTTTTCTTAGGACCAGTAAAATTTTAGACACTCATAGCTAAGTAATCTTCTTTATGTCAAACTTCTGTTACCTAACTTTTAAATATAATATGGAAATCCTAAAAAAGAAGCTTATGGTTTAAAAATACCAAGATAGGTTGATCAGGGTATTTTAACTACTTTTACAGAGGGTTAATCACAGCGTCTATAGATTTTCCACGTGACTCATTTCCATAAGCCATATTAGAAATTCTCTCACTTTTCTCTCCAAACCTGCAAACCCTAGCAAAAAGTCAACCCAACAATTGAAATTATTCAACAATATATAAACTGCATCTCTCATATAAGATCACAAATAGCTTTCAATGAGCTCTATTCATGTAAGGTTTGATTAAACATAGGTACTAGGTTTGGGCATTTATTAAGTCTCTGAGCCCAGTGCACTTAAGTCAAAATTCTAGAAAGTACCATGATAGGGAAAAAAGAAGATAGCAGCTTAGCAGTAAGACACAACTCCACAATATAGATATAAATACTGCTCTCCAGGATCCTCTGTTCCTTTCATATTTTTGATATCTTTATCCAGGCCGTCAACATTTTTTCTCTCCCTCTTCATGCCTTTGGCCATTCTTCTATAACCTTGCCTGTCCTCCCTGGACTCCAATATTCCCCAAGCTCACAATTTTTCTTTCTAGCCTTTATGTTCTTCCACAAACTGCCAGCGCTCTTCCACAGGCCGGAGCTCCCTAACTAAAGATGGTTATTGATGTACAGTACCAGTGTTTTAGTGCAGCAGCAGAATCAATAAACGAGAAAATACTGCTTTGTCAGGTTTCACCAAAGCATGCTGGGAAACTTTACTGCTTCAGATGGTTACAGAAACTCTTAATATGGGAGAGCGAGAGCTGGGCTCCCTTCTGTGGCAAGAAATGATGTTCTTCTACCCTCTAGTGACTATAAAGGAATAAGACAAAAGTTGGAGGAATTTTTGAGACAGCCTCACATTTTATTTATTGTCTCTCAATTTTATTTCTAAAAAGAACCAGAGTCTTGGAAACCAAGTGAACTGGTAGGATAACAAGACACCTTATCCTGGTTATTTTTAAAGTGTTCAAAATGCAAAGGATATACATTTTAGTAAGAGTCAGAACTTTGATTCCTTTGTATTTTAAAAAGCAAGGTTTGGAAAGTCTGCCTTTCTTCCAAAACGCCTTAGGGCTAGTCAGGTTACGAATCTTGTTCTCTCTCTCTCTCAAACATACACACACGCTCTTATACGCTGACAAAATCTTGGTTTCAATCTCCTTATTTTACGGAGAAGTAAACAAATGAAGTATCATGAAGTTAGAAATTAGAGCTGGCATATATTTGTGCACATATGTGTGTGTGTAAATAAATGCACATACAGAGATTGTCAACGAATCCTCCCCTCCATCCACACACACATCACGGTCACCTCCGCGTTGGTCATTTCTCTTTAAAAAGTAGCAGAGCTGCTTAATTAAGTTAAAAATATTCTTTTGGTTTTTTTTGCTTTATTTTTACACTAATTCTGACATTTAGCTACTTAGTTTACAATGTGCTAATTTAATAACCGGATAAATTAATAATGCATTCCTACCTTGGTACTCCTCTACTTTTTACAAACTGGAAAACAGTGCATAATTGCTTAAAAAGATACTAACAATGTAAAAAATCACCAGTATTTCATGAAGAAATCTTTTAACTAACTCACCAAAAAAGTAATAAATGGTAAAATAAAAGTAATATAAAAGAGATTTATAAAATACACCGTATATTCCTCTCAATTAATCTTTTTATTGCCCCTATAACACCAAAGCTAGTTTCCATCTAATGCTAAATAACTTCCTAAAGGACTAAATCTAACTGCACTACACTCCAAATAATCCAAGCTTAATGAAGTGTAACATTCTAATGTGGCCAGTACATATAAAATGTCACCACCAAACCAAGTGTAAGTTCAAACATCTGGCTGTGCCATTATTAAATGAAATTTTAAAAGGGAGGTTGTTTCCTTCCTATTCATAACAGCAGTAAGAGGAAAAGGAGGTTGTTAGATGCAAAGGTTGGATAATATCAATCATGTACATATCTGTGTTTGCTACAAAGGGGAACTTTTTAGCAAACGATGTAAAGAAAAGAAAACAGCTATATTTACCTTGCTGGCACTTAAACGCTTCCGATTTGACCAACGCTAAGGATTGTGTCCGTTGAATGGTGAAAAGGAGCAAAATGAAAGAAAAATAGAATCGTTAATGATATAATTATTATATTAGTTAGATGGTACAGACTACATTCAAACAACTAACACCCAAGTTCTGAGGTTACAGAGAAATCATGTTTGAACAAGAAAATAGTTAGAAAAATCACATTTCTGTGGTTGTGTTACATCGTTTTCTCACAGTATTCAATAACGAAAACACAAGGACATATGAATATTGCTCAGTCCTTAGAAATACATTTATGCTGTTAATTTAATTGCCTTAAAACACTATAATTTTACCTCTAAAAGCAAAGTGAAAAGGCAGATTTCTCCTACTTGAAATATTCAGAAAGGATTAAGAAAATGTTTAAGAAATTTAAGGACAATGTTAGTTCATGTTTAGGTTTCCATAGTTTTAGATACTAGAAAAATAACTCCATTTACCTCCACTGATTAAATCTCAATATTCAAAATAATAGGAAAAAAAATCTGAGTCATTCCTGCACAATTAAGAAAAATAGGCTAATACGGCACTGAGCAAGGGAAGAAAAAATTTTCTGAACAGCAAGTAACTTCACTGCTGTTCTCTTTTGATCTCTCATTTGTCATGCTAAGGCTGCTGAAATTCGTCTACAATTAAAATTCTCTCCTAGCAAAATCCTCTCATTACTCCTGTCACCGTCCAGTACTGCGAAGCTGTACTTTGGCTGGTTAACCAGCTAACTGGACGTTAAAACTTGGACAAATTTGGAAGATGACGATTCAATTATGAATCTAATTGAGCAGACCACATTTACTATTGTACTTAAGGAAAAAATACCTTTAGGCAAATGACCTATCCACTTTGCCAATATGTCTTCCCAACAAATTATAAAACAGAAAATAAACAGTCTTCGCAGGAAATCCACTTACAATCCAGTGACCAGCAACTGGAAACATTGGTACAGAAATCACTTGAAAATATTCTTCACTAAAAACACTTCCCTTGGTGAAATTGTGAGTTTAACATTTAGCACAGGACAGAGTTACAGATATCACAATCTGAGTATTAATATCAGTTCTTTTTGTATTTTCTCAACAACATATTGATAAATATTTTCACCCAAAACAACCACTCAAATTAATTACCATCTTATAGGTACACATGGCTTTTTAGGGCCCTTTGACATGTAACTCATTTTATTTTTATAACAATCATAAAAGGTAAACAAAACAGCTAAGGAAATTAATGGAAAATGAATATTTCTGTCTGCTTACTACAATACTAAGAGCTACCATATATCGAGTGCCTACCCCATGACAAGCACTATAGTTGATAATTTCAATCTTCACAATCCTGTAAAATACTCTTTTTTATCCCCATTTCACACAGGAAATTGTAGCTGAGAGAGGTTAAGTAATTCTGTGAATTTGACCTGATAATGTAACTTCTCAAAACTAGAAAGTACTGCAGCTGGGATTCGAACCCAGGCAGTCTGATGACAGAGCCCATAATTCTAACCACAATCCTATTTTTGCCAAGAAAAGGAAACAGATGGCAGGTTCGTCAGCCCTCCAGCCAGTCCCTGACCTTCTAACTGTACCATGCCCATATACACTCACATCCCTGGACGAGACGGTCAATTCACGGACGTTTTGCGAAGAAATCTGCGTACAAAACTGAGACTTCAAACTGAAATCTCTCCACCAGACTTTAAATTAAAATGGAAATTTATAAACACATTATTCCCAATCAAATTATCGACTGTCTTCCCAGTGGTGCGTGTTAATTATTCCCATTTAAAAACCCAATATAAGGATGTCTTTAAATATTAACTTAAACTCAATGAAAAGAACAAACGCTTTCTGATATCTACTCTATCCGCAGGGCCCCTGATATGCACCCTAAGTTGAAGAACCACACATGACCCAGGATACATTATTCCTCGCTCAGGTACACTTTGATCAAGTATATAAACAGAAAAATACAACTACCAGTCAGAACAAATGAGAGCAGGCAGGTTTTTCTATATTATAATACTCCATAAAACATATATAAAATAAATATATTGTCCACTAGACCTCCGCCAGACAAGCAAAGAACAAAGAAAATGAGACAGCACACACAGCTACTCTTAGGACTCGGAAAAGATATTCTCTGTCATGTTTTATAAAAACAAACTTAAGCTGCTTCTAGTATTAATTGCTCTGCAATTTGAAATAAATTTTAACTAAAACAGCATCACTTGAAAACTCCAAATTTTGGCAATATTTAAATATATTTTAAGTGCCAATGTTACTGCCAAACACAATCCAATATACTACAGAAAAATTCACAAGGGGAATAAATATGCAGCTAGTATGCAGCTTAGATATGCAGCTGTTGTCATGAGGAAATTATCCAACTTTATAAACCTCACTTAAATACGTAAGAAATTTTCAGAACATGTCAGCTGGCAATCACTCAACCATGTGGCAAATGATACTTATTTACAGTGCATGTTATTTTAACCTGGCATCAGCTCAAGGAACCGGTTACCTACTGTGCGTATTGATACTGCAATACTGTCGAGACTAAGAGAAGCCAGGGAAAATCCCTCCTTCACTATGTTGGAGAGGAAAAAAAAGTTTATTTTCAACACCAATTCAAGACATTTTAACATCAAAATACCCGCTTTATTGAGGTCTCAAGTTTTAACAGTCCCACTTCTTAAAAAATTAATAAATGGAGTTTTTTTCCAGTTATTGTCAAGTAAATGCTCATAAGTAAAGAATTCAAATTAAAAATAGCAACAATTTAGTTGACCCTCTGGCAACTGAAAAGTGATTGTGCAGTTTTCCCACTTGAAGCTATTTTCTGTGAGTTTACCAGTAACTCGGTCATGATTTTCATCATGAAAATAAATTACAACTAAAAGAAAAGGTGATGTCAACATCAAGAATATTCTCATCAACCCCACTGACTCAATTCAAGAAGTATTATTGGAAGCCTAATTATAAACAGGCTTCAGATTTTCATACCAGATTCTAAACATGCTTAAATTCTAACGTCTTAGTCCTTTTCTAAGTAGGTATTTTAGTTGGCTTTAAGAATACCTTTCAAATAACATAATCAAAGATACTTTTGTTCTTATTTTAATTCTTGGAATTATAAGGCATAATCCCTAAATATAAAATAAGATTATGATTTATATTCACGAATTTGCTCATAAGAACACAGTCTCTATCATATCCTCACAAAATCCAATGCTTTTTGATGTTATAGACATCTTCAACAAGTAGTGCATTAACTAGAAATTTCCATGTAATAGATCAGAGAATATTAAAATCTATATCTTCCCAAAAGTACTTTCAATAGATTGGTAGCTTAAAAAAAAGAAGAAGAAGAAACCGAAATGCTGCAAATGTATACATGATCACCTTAATAATATACAATGCAATAATTAAATCCTGGGAACTGCTTTTCATAATTGAATAATGCCTAAATCATCTAGTACCTAAGAAAATAGCAAATGGAAAACTTAACACCTAGTAAAAGTATATTTCAGATAATGTTACAAGCAAACCATAAGCAGTATATACATTTTAATAAAAGCAATACTATCCACATTCCTAGCCAAAACAGAGATAATGCCTTAATGGATTTTCTTTCCAGAGTTCCAAAAGAAAGGATTATACAACCACAGATAGGTACTTTAAGTTTCTATAAAACTATTTGTTTCCTCCAAAAAATAATTACAAAACTATCAGTCATCTGGGAGTCCAGTAACCAAAGCACAATTGCAGTAAAGGATTTACAAAAGAACAAAAAGCCCACACTTACATGTCTCTTGAAATCACCCTGTTTTACTACTAGGTTCAAATTTAACACAATCACTCCCATGTCATCTTCTAAACTGTTTGGATCTTCCAATTTTAAAATGTGTTCAGTCGTTCTACAAGCAAAAAGCAACAAAAAAGGTTAGCACTTATTGGCAGTACTATGGAGTCTTATAATGCATCAGGAGTTTATGGTAAAAGTCTCCGACCTCCGAATAAGCGTCAGACACAAGTTAAAAAAGCACCAAATTCAGTGAAAATAAACCAACCATCTTCAGGGTAGAGAAAGTGTTGGGTATTGCCTAATTCAACAGTTGGTTAACTGATTCTTCTCCCCTATGGCCCAAATAAAATGTGAATACTTGTTTTAATTTTAAGTTAGGTAGGTTAATGAACCTGAATATTAACAATTGAAAGTATAAAATTCAATACACCTTTTAGAACACATGGAAGATTTAATATCTTCCATATTAGTCAACTCGAATACATGTGGGAGCTAAAAAGCAAAAATCATAGAAAAACTTACATTTTAATGCACTCTTTCCTTTACTCAGATTTGTTTTTCTGTTATTTGATATACACAAATACCATTTAACATTATCTTGAATTCCCTCTAAAATTCACTAAGAACAATTGGAAGGTAAAAACACAATACCTGTTAAGCTCAAGATCACTGAGAATGACAAATGCAGAACCCATAAAATCAGATGTAGTTAAATCTCGATCATATACCTACAAAGAGGGAGGAGGGCAGTAACACATTAATACGGTAAACCAGCTGAGTTTATCAAATTATTAATGAATGCAATAGGCTGAGAATTTTGAATTCAGTCTTCTAGATCTAAAAATAATTTGTACAGTACAGTAAAAGAAGAATTTAGCCAAGACAATGGGGAGAACAAAATTATTCAAACTTGCCCATTTTGCCTACCACAGCCAAAACAACACCACAAAATACTTTTAAGGCAGTATTCACATGCATTAAAGTGTTATGCACAATGGACCACTCTCTGTAGTTTAAACGGTCTCTCATTAAAATTTAGTATTTTTCACGGTGAGCAGATCTGCCAATTAAATAGAAATTTGCTAAATATTCTATAGCAATCCCATCCTGCACTCAACTCATGCAGTTTTAACCCAGATGTTAGAGCAATTGATACTTACAACCGGTAGCTTAAAGCTCTATTAAGTATAAAGTTATTCCTAATGAGA